TGTCACAGATCATGTTTTTTTTAGCTTCAAACCAAAGGAGACAAAAGCTTTTGTGCCAGCTAGAAAATGACATGAAAAGAGGAACCTCACCATCATCTAATGACTAGGATTTTATCCCTAACATGACTGGGATGATGTTTTAATGTGGAAAGTAATGATTAATGATCATAAAATCATAATCATAATATTTTAGTTTTATGTTTTTGCTTTATTTGATCACATGAGATTATATCCTAGAATTAATGTAATATTTGTTTCATAACAACAGCTGTGATTGGGCTATATAAACCTCCTCTGCTGGGAGGAACAGGGGACAAAAAAAAAAGGAGGAAACGAAGAAAAAGATGAAAAAAAGAGAGAGGAGTAATGAGAAAGAGCCGACAACAACACTGTTGAAAGCAGAAAAACACAAAAATAGGGGCCTGAACTCAACCAGTATAACACACCTTTAGATGCCAATATTAAGAATTTTATTCTTAAAAGTAATTAAATCATTTCATTAAGCAATTCTTAAAAGTAATTAAATTATTTCATTATGCTTAAGAAATTAAAAGAATAATTTCATCACTGATCAATCTGGTAATGATTAATGTATCTCATGAAAAGATCAAAACACCTCTAACATCAACATAATGGATTTTTTTTAATAGAATAAAATGATAATTTCATTATTCTAGTGAATACTTAAATGTTTGTAGGCATACATTAAATATCTCTTCAATGTTGGCTTTCTTTTAGAAGGGTAAAATGTTAATTTTATTTGTATAGAAAGAAGAAAGGTGTTCCTTAAATAAGTTCACAAATAGTTAAAAGATTTAAATTTTAAAAAAATTATGCATGAATTAGCTTTCAATTGCTTTGAAATCTTTCTCTCCATGCATACAAGTAATAAGGTTGATATAGCGAAACAATTTGATGAATAAAAATAATTGTCTTCCTCCAAGTACCTCTCCATTCTTTAAATGAATTAAATGCTTTAACAATTGATTGCCTTCAATTTGCAATTGTTTGGCTTTGTTGTCCTTATTGAAATTATGGTTAAAGATAGATCTTTAATTCATAGAAATTACCCAAGTTTGAACTGGTTGTTGCAAGCACTTTTTCTTTTCTTTTTTTATTTTTTTGTATCCAACAGACTGAGAATTTTACAAATGAGTGTTTATGAAATTACTGATAGTAGTGCTCGACCATTTTTGTTATTTCAGATGGGATGATAAAGAAAGAGGATGAAATGAACAGGCCTGCCAACTACTCAGACCAGTAGAGTTTTACAAATTGTAGATATAGCAAATTTTACCTAGTTTTTTTTTTTACATAGCACAATAAAACAAAATTGTTAAAATAGCATTGATGAAAAAAATATTTAAGCATCTATCACATTTCATCAAGTAGTAAATAACATTACGCACACAAGTAGATTTGTTTTTACCCTTTTTCATTTGTCATCTACTTAAACATACATATATATATATATATATATATATATATATATATATATTTAAAAAAACCACGTCACAATAGTATATCATGCAAGAGTTAAAAACAAGGTTATACGACATTTTTATACAAATTGGGATAGAAATCATCAATAAATTATAGATAATTCACATTTTGTAAAGTGCAATATACAATTAAATATACAATTAGATTAAATATACAATTAGATGTGAATGATATAATTATCATTTGCCACAAATACAAATTGCTTCAATTTTAATCATTTTCATGCACTTCTCTTATAACATCAACTATTGGAGGTATTTTAGATTAAAACAATCTCACTCCAAGATGAAATAGAAACATCACATGTGATCTAGAAGTTGTCACATCAACAATTAATTCAATCTGCATCTTTAGCAACCACAATACATTAGAACTTTTACGTCCCACAAAATATTATTACACCTAAAAAAAATTATTTGTATTATAATTGATACAAGCAAGCCATGTATCATTAGTCTCTACCAAATCCTTGTATAATATGTCAAATTCTTATTTTGAAGAATGTGTATAAATCTTACGCAATATATTTATCAAGACAACATATTTTAACTTAATATTGAAGTTATTCAAAAAACATTATGAATAGTATCGATGATATCCAATAGGCTCAGAAAAATGTGTCATAAAATTCTAAATTATCGCATGTCTATCTTATATAATACATAACTTAAAGTGACTGTCAATCACGTATCGACAAAGCAAATCTAAAAACCAACTCCAAACATTGTTTGCCTCTTCTTCAACAATAGCAAAATATAACAGAGAAACTCCCTTATTCACGTCATAAGCAAGCAACTGCAAACAAAAATCTTACCTTGTACTTACATAAAGGTGAGTGTTATCAATGCTAATTAGAGGGTGACAATATTGAAACTCATCAATTAAAGCACCGAATGTCCAAAATGCTCTTAAATATTGTCTTATTATCATCAACTATTTTATGATTCCAAGTAACAATTATTCCTGGATTTGAATCTTTGATAGCCAGTGGTATTCTGGGTAGGTTTTGAAATGACTTTTCATGTGTGTCAAATAACCACTCCAATATTTTTTGTTTAGTCATCCATGCCTTCCAAAATGAGACTTCATGCTCATGATCTCTCTCTACGGTACCTTGAATCATTACAACACATATTTAAGTTCATTTTCATAATTGTCAGCATCACCCTAGCAATGAAATCTGATTCAACTTGTCGATATCATTGCAAAACAAGAAGATTCCAACATGTGTGTGGCCATTTGAATTTTAAAATTTCCCATGAATTAAATATTCGGTGATACACATTGCAATTGAACATAAGTTTTAGTTAAACAATGAACCTTGTACTGCAATGAATTCTTTATATGTCACCACTTTACTACAATAATACATTCAGACTTGTCTTTGAAATTATTTTCAAGCCTAAATGCCTATAACTATTAGCATAATCATTGTATCGATATTGATCATCCGCACTCATAACCTCAAATTTAGAAACAGAATGAGTCGTGCATTGATTAACATGCTCAAATAACCCATCATCCTCATCTTCCCTATCTTCTCCATCTTCCTTCTTAACCTCAACTCTATCAATGTGACGATCATCTTCATCGTCGCTTAATATGGATTCCACATAACAATATGAAACAATTCTTATACACATTGCAATTGAACATAAGTTTTAGTTAAACAATGAACCTTGTACTGCAATGAATTCTTTATATGTCACCACTTTACTACAATAATACATTCAGACTTGTCTTTGAAATTATTTTCAAGCCTAAATGCCTATAACTATTAGCATAATCATTGTATCGATATTGATCATCCGCACTCATAACCTCAAATTTAGAAACAGAATGAGTCGTGCATTGATTAACATGCTCAAATAACCCATCATCCTCATCTTCCCTATCTTCTCCATCTTCCTTCTTAACCTCAACTCTATCAATGTGACGATCATCTTCATCGTCGCTTAATATGGATTCCACATAACAATATGAAACAAATGTCATCCCCAACTATGGTTCTATATTAACATTTTAATGTACTGACATTTGTCTACTTCCATTACCACCAAACCTAGATGGATCAATTGCTCATGATATCTATGTGGTTCTCTGAGAGTTATTTAGATCCCAAGTCAACTTCATACTAGAAAAGTCAACTCCATACTAGAAAAGTCAACTCGTTTAAGTCTATTATTCAAGTAGAGCTCTAGCATATTAATCCTTGCATACCCAAATATTAAATTTACACTTCTATCACTACAGATTGGTACACTAACATAACAAGCTTGATTAACCCCTATTTGCAACATCGTCTAAGTAATTTCAACTTCTATTTCAAACATATTCCAACCAAATCGATCATATAATACTCTAGATAACTCGTGAAGAGACAATCTAATGTAATAGTTAGAAACCCATGACTTCCTACATTATAAGTGATATCATTATCAGTATTGACAATGGTAACATCATAAAAGCATAATATTCCTAAATTATCAGACATTCTGTCAAACAACACAACAAAAAACAATACTAATTTATTAATATCTTGGGGTTAATCAAAATGTATAATTTATCAACTAAACCATATCAGAAATATAATTGATTAAAACTTAAATTCATTAAATTAATCGGCAAACACCTATATTCATCAAATTCTGATACCATAACGATATTATCAATCAAATTCATGTATTTCTCAGGAAATTATCTTATTTTATACCTAATTCAATATAATCTATAATTTAACTTAAATCAACATTAACTCTAACAAGATAATTTTATTAATTCACAATCAACATCTTAAAATCATTGATTATTTCACAATATAATCTAATTATCAACTCAAATTATATCTAATTAACATAATTACAAAAAACCCTAAATTTTCCAAAAAAATCCCTAATTCAAAACCCTAACATTGTATGAAATCAAATTAACATATATTAAAATAAATTACGTCAAATTGATCGAGAAAAAATGTTAAACATAACTCTAAATGTAGAATATAAGTGGTGATAGTGATCGATACTAGTTTTGGCTGGAAACCTATTGACCCACGACAAAGAGGGAGAGATGGGTGATTTCATGGTGTTTTGAGTGTGTTTCATAATGGAGAAAGAGAGAAGAAGGTCACTAGCAGCAAGGAGAAGGAGGGGCAGGTGGCTGTAGAGACGGGGGAATAAAGAGAGAAAGGGGATGAAATCTGGCTATTAATTTTGAATAATATCACAAATGTCATTTGCGACCCTTGAGTATCGTAGTAACAATTGTAACTCATAAAACTTTGCTACATACCCAAATCTTCTTGCTATATCCACGAATATATTCTTCATTGTGTAACTTCACCCAAAAAAAAAATCACTGTGCTAAAAACCCAAAAAACGTTTATTTTACCTGCAGTCCCATCATTGTTCCTTAAGCATTTGCTTCTTTACCATCTTCATGATTTTTGGAAATCCATGGAACTGCTTGACATCAAATGATAGGTTCGCCTGAGCCAAAAATGAAAAACGAAAGACCATAGAACTGATAATCATAATACATCCACAATCCAGTTCCAATAAGCAACTTACTGCAACCATACACACACACACACACATGCAAAATAAAATAATAATTAAAGAGAACTTTCAACATAGTTCAGCACACTTTGTGCGGTCATGTCTTGGGTAGTGTATGCAGAATATATTGCACAAGTGGATATGCCTGATTCTCCTTGAACATGCTCTCATGCCTTTCTCTAGAGTTTGCTCATAAGAATAGAAGTTAGTGTATTTGTCTTGGGGAAACCTTTGCGTCTTTCATATTATTGGATCTGAAAACAAATGATTGAAGATGCAATCTGGCACTGGCTGCGGCAGCAATAGATTTTTCATCTTGCTTTTCTTTTGCAGAAGCAACAGCAGCAATGTAAGCTTCTCTTGCTTCTTCCATTTTTTGCATCTCCGTGTCATCTAAATCATCCTGTACAAATCGAATTTGAAGATCCAAGTGCACATATGATCCAATTAATAACAGAAGTAAATTATAAAGGCATGGATATAAACGCTTTTTCACTGAGCCTAGGTTTATCATCACACATCACAGACAAAATAAGCTTTCACAACTTCCAAATGTTTAACATCACACATCACCTGTTCATCAAGTCTTTAACAACAATAAAGACCACGACCTTGTACAAATTTAGTCCAATGCAATTTTTCCCCAAAGACATTACGTGGAAAACTAAGCATTCACAGCAAAGCCATGTATTACATAATAAAAAATGCAAATTCAGTCTGTCTGCTGAAGATCAACCAAGGTTTTAACTGTTGATAGTCCACAAGTTCTTATTCATGACACATGCTTTTTCTGCGACAGTATCTTAAATAGCGAGGTGGGGGACCTACAGTGAATTGGAGAAAAGCAACGAGAGAAACAGATTAAAATATATATCAAGAAGGAGATTGTGAGCTTACAATATCAGGAAGCTGGTCCAAATAGCAAGGTTTGATATCGTAATCTTCAGCATATGGAATGGAATTATTCTTTGACAAGTTTTCAAATACCAACATAAATGATGAAATGCCTCCTTGTATGGAGTCTAGTTCTTGCTGGAGTGTTTCCACTTTCTGATTGGACGTCATCACCTCCCACTGTAATTTTTCAAGTGCAGCTTGCTTGTCTGCGAGCTTAATCTGTGGAAAACAACTGCTCTTACTAACAAGATGGCATAACCTCAAACAATAGAGAGAGAGGTTTACAGTGAATTTCATATAGGCATGTAGCTTTACTCCAATCTCATTTATAGGGTTGTACATACAACTCGGTTAAATTGCAAAAGATAGATCATTTCTAGGATTTGATATTGGTTAACCATTGTATCACATGAAACACAAATCATATTTCTCAAGTTATATATATAGACACACACACACACACACTTATCAATAAATTAAAACGTTCATTATTTAAAGGCACTTTAAGATCCTGAAGTTCGAAGTTTCATACATCAAAAGGTAGTCTTCCATCTAGTTCTGTCTAGAACCAAAATGGATCACAAAGCTAGCATATAACTTGGAGTGCATAAAATGTCAAAAACTTGCAAGGACAGTCTCCTGAGCAACCTTTGAAAGATCAGAAATTTGCTAAGTTCACTGGAGTTAAAAAGTAAACGCATCATATGACACCAGCAAGACCATATTTTTTATTGGCAATCGCTTTAGAACCTAATTGAGAAACAGCTGAATTATAAAAGCTCGCTATGCATGCTAATAAACAATGCAAGCAATGTAAGTACCTTTGCATTGGAGAGTTGTAACTGGGTGGACTTAATTAATGAGTCCTTTTCTGCAACTTCGAGTTTGACTTCATCGAATTTGGCATGAACAGCATTCATCTGATTCTTTGAAACTTCTGCTGATTTCAAAAGTTCGTCTTTCTCCAACAATTTCCTTTGCAGATCTTCCACTTGCTCCCTCAAAGCGATTAACTCTTCAGCATCCTTCCCTGTCGGCACAGCCCTGGAGGAAGAAAGGATTGCAAAGCTATCTGCATCTTGATTATGATTAGCAGTTTTACCTTGATCCTTATCACCATGGTCCGTTTTCTTTTTTGTTGGAATAGATTGGCAAGTATTTCTGCCTCTAGGATCAATCATCTTCAACACCAAAAAAAAATAAATAAATAAATAACTCAAATTTCTTTTTTTAAATAGCACTTAACAGAACTATCATCATCGTATAAAGAAATACATTAAGGAGAAGCAACAAAATAAATGAACAAATAAAACGCATTACTATGAAACACTAATAATTTCAACTTATACAAGAAAAGAAAGAAAAATTGTTACCTTTCTGGTTAAGGATTCTCTAGAAGGAGTCTTGGTGTAAATCACCGAACCTCTCCGTGTAAATGAAGTGCTCACTTTTCGATCCTGAACAAAAATTTTACCGAATTAATAGAAAGTTATTTAAACTTGAGGATGAAAAGAACAAGAAAATGAGTTAGAGAGATTATTACAATGAGGGACTGGACGAGGGGAACCATTTCGACAAGATCGTTGAAGAGGACACGATCAACATTCCCACTTGCAGAAGAAGCGAGTTGAGAGTGATTTGGGAGGTGAGTCGGGGAAGAATTGCTGTTGCTGTCTTCGGAAAGCCATGATTTTGGGTCACCAAAATTGCTGGAATTCTGCTGCAAATCTACAAACCGTTGAGCCTCGTACATCCTCTTCCTCTTCCTTTCCTTTCCTTTCTTTCTACTCTTCTTTACTGAGAATTTTGAGGAGAGAGTGTTCTTTCTTGGAAATTTTGAGGGAGTTGCAATTGCAGGCTCACAGGAGAGAGAGAGTTTACCAGTAAGGACTTTGATTTTGAAATTTCGTAAAACACGCTTTAACGCTTTCTTTCCATGTTGTGTAAATTTACACTTTCGATGGATTGTTTTGCGTAAAATATCTTTAGTAAAATATTTTATACATATTTTCATGTTTTTTTATATAATATTTTATAAAACAATTAAATAAAAAAATATTTTAAAGTCAATTTCTAAACTTAAATATATTTTAAAAAATATTTTTAATCTATAAAATATTTAAAAAAATATTAAGTTACTTATAATATTGTTTATTTAATTTTAACCATTTCCTACAACTCACCATTATCACCCTCTCAGATTATTATATAATCAAAATTCATAATTATTTGACTCATACTAGTATAATTTTGTTAGTAAAAAAGAATGAATATATAAGCTATTCCAACATGTTTTTTAATATAAAAAAACTTATTAATTATAAATTGAAATGTTTATACATACATCAAATTAATTAAATTAATATTTTATTAAAAAATAACTAAGATTAAAATATTTAACCTCACTACATGAGTTATGTATTTAGTTATTTTTAATAAATTTATTTTTTAAAATAAATGTTTTATTCAATTAAATGATTACTTGTGTTAGTAAAAGGTAGAAGAAAAGGTTGTTAACAAAAATGAATTAAATAAAACTATAAAACTCGACTATAAAATAAATCAATATTGTATGGTAAAAATAGAGAAGAAAAATTAAAACTAATATAATATTAAATAATAAAATTTAGAAAAAATTAATTTAAAAAAACTAAGACAACCCGGGCAAACATTCTAAATATGTGTTAATCTCTAAAACTCTCAACTCATGAAATTTTAGACCCGAGTTCAACCAATAAGCTCATTTTTTAACCAATTTAATATTAAAGGATGAAAAACAATTTGATCAAAGTGAGAAAAGTAGTAATCAAAAAAATAATGATCAAACTTTTTTAGAAAAAAACCTAAGAAGGATGAAATTGTAAAAAAATTATAATCTTAAAAATTATTTTAAACAAAAAAATAGTAATCAAAACAATAGAGACTATATATTTGAAAGACAAAAAAAAAAACTAAAGGGGAATAAAATTAAAAAACAATTCACTTTTTATAAATTGTTATAAATAAAACAAATAATAAAAAATGGATTAAAATTCCAAGAGATTAAAAATTGAAGAGCTTCTTTGAGATTTTAAAGAGACAAGCATGGAAATCAAAAAAATAAAAAAGAAGAAGGGGAAAAAAAGGCCACAAGCACTAAATTAGGTAGCCTTTATCTAAATATATCGCTTCCCGAGAAGACAACGTTAAAATAATTCAAACATCAATGAAAAGTAAATTTTCTTAATCGTCCACTAACCAGGCATAGATCTCATTAACTAAGAGGCTAGTTTTCTCAAATTACTCATTAAATAGAATATCAATCTTATTAATTAGAGAGATAATCTTCTCCAATTACCTATTAAATAGAACACCAATCTCATTAATTAGAGAGTTATTTTCTCAAATTTCCTTTTTTTTTTCATTCACAACTCTAGACAAAGATTCAATAAAAATAATAAAATCATTATTCAAAAATTAACAATTTTTTATAAGGTGTTAAACACCTACTTGATTTTTATATGTACAATCTGGTCTTTTACTGCTAAAATATCATGGCCTTTCTTATATTAATAAAATCAACACATTATCAGATATTCATCTATCATATCACTCAATTCCATTTTTTATATTAATCATGAATTGATATTTAATTTGTATCAAGTAATCCTACTATAGTAATATATGATGCCCATTTCCCTTAAAGCCAATAAATGAGGTATTTATCCTCTCAATTTATTTATTTTTTACAATAAATAATTATCCATTTTTAATTCATGCTAATAATCACTAATCAATCTCAAAAATATTTATTCATTACATAATCAATATAATTTAATCCTCACAAAAGCACAGCATTCACAATTTATTAACAAAAACTCAAATTCAATGCAATTTAATTTATTTAAAGATATTTTTTATTTTAAATGGATGATTTCTCGAGTGTTGGAAACTTTAAAAATCAAGCCCCTTTCCCCCCCCCCGCCGGCTAGGAATGAAAATTTATACTTATTGCCCCCATTTGTATTTAATTCCCTTTTGTTCCACTTATTTAAATCTAATTACTTTATGCTTTGTAACTTTTTTTTTATCTAATTTTCTCCTTCATTTATCTAATTTTATTTCACATGTCAGCTAAAAATAAATTTCTCTTATTTTTTTTGGAAAATATTTAACTAGGTTTTTACATGTTCATTGAACTTATGTGAAATATAGAGATCTTTGGTCCATGTTATATTATGACTCGGATTAATTTTTTTAAAAAAATATCTAGATATTGCTAATATTTTTTCTAATAGAATTTTTATTTAAATAGTGTGAAAATTAATCCGAACAATTTTGAAAATCCAAAAGCAACCAGATAACCAGTAAAAATATCATTAGATTTGAAGCTCAATTTCTATTAGAGAACAAATTAAAAAATATTATGAAACTCATATCCTAATAAACCTAGTGATGCAAAATAAAATTATAAAAAAAAAAGAGATTCAATTATAAAAAAAGCATAAAAAACAACTCAAGTTAACTTAAATTAATTAATGACCAGAGATATGAGATGATGATAACTTTATAAAAAACCCAACCCAGACAAATAATGAAGTTTAATTATTAATTAACTCAATATTAAAAGATAAAATTAAAAAATAAAGTCAATTAGCAAAAAAACAAAAAAAATCTAGTAAACCAAGTTAACTTGTTAAACATGCAGTCTAATTTACGAGACTAGAATAACTTTATAAGAAGTAAATTGCAAAAGTTTATGAAATCTAATCTCCAATAAACCTAATGTTGAAATTAATACATAAATCAATTAAAAAGGGGACATAAAAAATAACGTAAGTTAACTCTGGTTAACTTATTAAACTTGTGACTCGATTTATAAGATAGGGATAACTTTATAGAAAAAAACGAAAACAAATCATGAAGTCTAACTTTCAATTAACTCAATATTAAAAAGATTAATTTGAAAAAAAATAATATGGAAAGGAGGGGAAAACTTGAGTCAACTTATTAAATTTATGGTCTAGGTCATGAGTCTAAGATAACCTCTTAAAAAAATAAATTGAAAATAATTGTGAAGAATAATCCATAATAAACTTAATTTTGAAGGATATAATTAAAATTGAAAACCAAATGATGAAAACTAAATACTATTCTATTGAATAATATTTTGTAAAGAAAGGTACAATAAAATCTTTTTCTCTTTTAGTTATTAGTCAACTCATTAAATTCATAATCCAAATCATGAGATTATAAAAAACAAATTAAAAATAATTATGATGCACAATTCCTAATAAATTTAATTTTAAAAGATATAAGTGAAATTGAAAGAAAATTTATTGATTAAAAAAAAAACAAAGGATGAAAAACAACACCATTCTAGTGACTAGTGTTTTGTGAGGAGAGATATAATTCTTTTTTTTTTAGTTATATGTTTATTAATTTGTTCCATATTTCATATATTCATCTTTAATCCACAACCAACTAACTAAATAGTATAAGGAATACATTTCAAATTTTTGTTTAAGTGATATGTTGTGGGTTTTTATGTTATATTATATATGAGGTTAATGCATTCTTTTTATCTAATTTAAGATTTTTTTTTGTTGATTTAGCATCTAAAATGTAATTTTTCAAACTATAGCGATTTATCACAATTTGAACCAATTTACAAGATTTTAAATGTAATTTTTCCTAAACAATTCAATAGTTTGAAATAAATAGGAAAAATGAATCTCTTCAATTTAGACTCCAATTATTTATTAGTGCATCTCTTTATTATTTTAATAAAAACATGTTTTTTAAATCATAAGAATTATTTTTTAAATAAAAACTTGTCATGATCTTAAAAGTAAGTTTTAATAAAAAATTAAAATAATATCATATTATTTTGTATTTTGTATAGGATTGAAGGCAAAACATTAATTAATCTTAAAAAATCTTGTAAAATATCTATTAAAAGCAACATAAAGAGAAATAGAGATTTTATTTTAATTCAATAACCATAACATTTTTTTTTTTGCATATTAGATATATAATAATTAAAAAAAATGTGAAACTTCTCGTACAAGTCTATAAAATTATTTAAGAATCATGTGTTAACTATATAATAATTTAAATACCATGTCAAATATTTTATTTATAGAGAATTTCTTTCAAATCCAAAGAAAAAATAAAAAAAAAGTTATAGAAAAAGGTTAGGTTGGGCTTAGTACACACTTCACCCAATAAAGAGAAGGCTTGGTATGTATAGACCTGCAAGGTTAGATCTTCATAGCTATAACCTTCTTGTGTTTTTAATTTTTATGTTTAAAAATAAAAATGTTTTATTTTATATTTTAAAAATAAAACAAATAATGTGTCGTTTGCTGGTTTAAATTCATATTAGTAAACATTACATCTAGGTTTGCATAAATAGTGAAAAAAATAGCAAAACCTTTTCTTGTGTTTAGTTTATAGTGTAACTAGATCATTATTAGTGCTAGACTGTAGGTTAAATTAATTTTTTAACATAAAAAATATATAGGTGTTACAAATGTGTTTTTTAGTAAAAAAAATTTAAAATTTATAGGAGTTAACTTGATATGACCCGGTTAACTTGATGGCATTACCCGGTTTAAAAACAACCCAAAAAACTATTAAAAGAGTTGTTTGGCTAGAAAAACTCAAGATGACATATTTTTAAAAATATATTAAGATAATAATGTATTGAATTGATCCGAGTTAACTTGGGTTAATATGTCAAATCCACGATTTGAATTATGAGATCAGAATATCCCCAAAGAAAGCAAATCAAAACCAAATATAAAACCTAATTCTCAATTAAACTAATGTGTGAAAGATGAAATTGAAAACAAATTTGATTAAGAAAGGAGACAAAAAATTAACTTGAGCAAACTCAGGTTAACATGTCAAAGTTGTAAATTAGGTCATGTGACTAAATAGTTTTTAAGCCCAGTCCAAGGCTCAGGTTCTAGGTTTTGACTGGGTCACCTGGTTTTGATGGGGTCACTCGGGTCAATTTTTTTTAAAGAAAAATCAAAATGATGTCGTTTTAGTAAAAAAAAAAAAGTTAACAGGTTGTAACTGGATTTTTTACTAGGTCTTGCCAATCAACCCATTGAGTCAGTCGGGTCACATCAGGTTTTTTCTTCCAATATTTTTCCTTCAATCCGACCCAGTTCTAGCCCCGGGTCAGGTTTTAAAACTATGTGTGACTAAAATAACTCCATAGAAAGTAAATTAGAAAAAATTATGATGCTCAATTCTCAGTCAATCCAATGTTAAATGATAAAATTAAAAAAAATATCAATTAAAAATAGATAAAAAAAGCTTGAGTCAACCTTTAACTAGTTAAACCCATGACCCAAATAATGAAACTGGAATAAACTTATAGAAAGCAAAAAATAAAAAAAAATGAAATCTAATTCTAAATCAAACAAATGTTAAAGAATGAAATTGAGAAAAATATTAGACTACAAAAAGGGAAAAAAAGTCGAGTTAACTCGCGACTTAGGACAAACAATCACAATATTGAATGATAAAATTAAAAATAATAATAAAATAACCTGGATCAATCTAAATTAACTAGCCAAACTTGTGACTAGAATAATGAGATTAAAATAACTTTATAGAAGGCAAAAAGAAAAAAATTATAAAGCCTAATTTCAAATTAATAAAATGTTAAAAGATGAAATTAAATAAAAAATAACTTAAATCAGCTTAGATTAACTTGTCAAACTCATAACATAAGTTATAAAATTAAGCTAATTATATATAAAATAAATTATAATAAATTATAAAATTTAATTTAAAAAAACAGAGATCAAAACGATAAAAAAAAGGTAATTAATTTATACTATAAATATAATAATATAATAATTATTACAAATACAAGCAGTCTTTATTATTTCCACAACGGCAATAGGAAAACTAAATCTCAGTCCATCAAGTTTGTAACTTGTTTCAATTAGACCATAAATACTCGAAGCTTAAGCTTATTTAGGGGAAAATTCTTGATTTTTTGTTTTCGGGACTTTGGCCAAATTTTATTACCGAAAAATATCAAATATATTTCTCAATGGTACCATCTATTATTATTATATTTGGAATTTATGTTTTTTTTTTTTTTTTACATTAGTTACGCTGGTTCAGCTTGAAGCATTATAATAATTTAGCCTTCATTGCAAGTGATATTGTATAAAACTATGTATTTGTGTAACAATTATATATGTATATAATTTTATTTTATTTTTTAATTACAATTGGATTTTAGCATTGAAAATAATAATAATAATTTTTTTTGTTTTTATTCATGTTATCTTCAAACCTTTTTAAAAAGTGAGACTAATTATTTTCAGGTTTCAGGATTCGTTATTATTCTTTCCAACAAGCATTTTTTTTAAGAATTAAATTTGTATTTTTATCCTTACAAGAATATAATGGTATCTTAATTATTAAACCGACCAACACTTTATTGGTAAAATAATAGTAATATGACATGTAAAAAGAACTTTAAGGTGAAAATCAATAGAATTAAATAAAAATACATAAAAATAATAAAATTATACTGCTAATATTATTATTATTTAACTTTATATATAATTAGAATGAATAGGCAGTGGTAAAAGTAACTTGAGAGGGGGACTAAATTAACTATGGATTGAAACCTGGGGGCCTGTTTTACGGAACTAAGGAGTGGGGCATCATAAGTGGCGCCCTGGTTTTGGCTTGTGCCTTTTTCCTATTGCTATTTTCTGGCGAGCAGCGGCTCTAAAGAGGAAGGGAAAAAAAAAACCAAGACTTTGCAAGCGAGATGGGGAACTTGAAAGAAAAAGTAGACAAGAAACAGCAGAAAAAGAGCAAGAAGGCTAATAATAGAAAATTCAGTGAAAAGGGTATCTCCTCATTCAAACTTTCTTGTTCTCAATAGCTTACTATCTTTCAAGTTTTTGCCTTTTGTGCGATTCTAACTTGTGGGTTTTATTCGAAGAACCTTTTCTGTTCAATCTGCTTGGTGCTTGTTATTGATGCATAGAGGAAGGCATGAATTTTTATTGTGAACAACCAGTTTTGAGAAAGCTAGTTTATTCTCTCAAATTTTAGGTATAAAATTTTAAAGAGAATGAGTTTAGGGTGTTGAGAATTAGGTTATGAAATTGTTTTCTTACAAGGTATTTTTCTGTTGAATGATGAACTGTGAAGTTCTGGCGTAGTAGCTAACACAAAAATGGGTAGTTCAAGTGCTTCTAAACAAACCTGTAAGATTTGTATTCTTTGGCATTATTGAACTTTTGGTTAAAGATGGAAGCTGGAGCTTTAATTGATAAAGATTACCCAAGCTTGAACTAGTTCCTGCAAGCTTGCGTCTTTTTTTTTTCTTTTTTTTTTTTTGTTTTTGTGGTGAATGAGGTGATTCTCCTATAGTGTTAAAAATTGTGGTGGTGGTAGACATAAATGAATGGAATTTTTAGTGTTTTGCAGTACATGTGCTCGGCTCATTCATCAGCATGGTTTATCAAACAATAGATATTCTGCTTGGCCTTTCTTCCATTCACTACCATAAACTGGGATATATATCTTTTAGTGGAGGAGAACTACTATGCTAAATGGGTAAAACTGCCCAAGATGTATTGTTATTCATCATAATCTGGTTACCATTAATTTTTTTGATATTTCAGTTATATTACTTACAAAGAATAGCTGGTTTTTCTTGAAGAAGGAAAAGTAGCAGACATGAGATGGTTTTCCATACAAAATGAGCTCCGTTGGAGCCAAGAATAACATCACAGCTTCTTTTTGTACAATGCTGGTTTTACAAAATGAAATAAACTTCACAATGAGTAGCATTTGACATATAAATGAATTTCATAATCACTATAATTATGGGACTGTTTAGGGTTGTTGTGCCAGTGTGCACCGGGCACCACAGCACTCTTAGACAGGGACTGAATCATTTCACTTCACAGGGATAAATTGGTTGAAATTCTACCCATTGATTTAGGTCCGAATAAGGGGGGATGCAATTAATGAAGATTTCTTGGTTTCTTCCGTGGTTATTTACCTACAAATCATGTACAACTTATGCCAAAAATTGCTGCTATATTTGAAATTGTAAATACTGAAATTATTGCTGGTAGTTTTGCTTGACCTTTTTTTTTTTCAGATGCAATGATAAAGAAAGAGGATGAAAGGAATAAAGTGAACAATCCAGCAGAGAAGAAGAAGAGGAAAAGGGAGAAGGGAAATAACTTTGATGGTGGTGATGTTACTCGGATCAGTCGAGGTTTAAAAGTTTTAGATATAGCAAACTGTTTGCCCATCTAGATTTCTAATAACCTTGTCTCAATAATTAGTTTTTCTTGTTTCAGAAGATGACCGTACTAAAGCAGAAAGAGAAAAGAAGAGGAACAAACTGAGGAAAAAGAAACAGAGAAGTGAAGAGCAAAATAATGCTCTGGTTGGCAAATATGATCAGCTCAGTACTGAGTCCGAAGATGGTTTTAATGAACAAAAATGTAAGGCAATAGGATTTTAGCTAGGTGAAATATGTTTTGAAATACTATATCTTGGCAGAATGTAACTAAGATATTGTGTTATTTTGCTGATCCATTTTGTTTAGACATATTGCATCAGTGCATACCTGGGTTTGCTGGTGCAGTCTCTCAATTGATTAAATACAATATTTGGAAAAATGGGAGCTCAATGATTTTGTTCATGATGTCCTTTCTGTCTAAAACTCTTTTTGAGTATGCACACCAAAGTGCTGCCACCTTTTGTTCTCTATCTATTTTCCCTTCTGGCTTGTTTCTTTTTCTTGAACTTGAGATTGTTGTAATCTACATCAAGCAATAAAATAAAGAACATCTGTTTAGTTTTCATACTATTCCCTTTGTTAGTCATAATATTGTTTTCTACCTTTAAACTTTATTAAGCTAAAAGGAGATATGAAATTTCCAAAGGGAAAAAATATGATGTTCTTGGAAGTTAGGACAGATGACAGAACCTGTAAATAAACAATTCCTTTGGTTATGCGGAATTTCTCTTGAAAACATTAGATTGTGTTCTTTTAGTGTTGTCTCATGTGTTCCCCTCATTCTTTTTAGGTAAATCCAAGAAATCTAAGAAAAAGAAAAAGGAGCATGACACATCAAAGGAGGATGAGAATATACTGGAAAAGAGTGGAGAGACCGATCATGGTGAAGCATATTGTATTTCTTCTGTGGATGAGGACTGCTCAAAAGGAATGAAAAGTATGTATGAATCATATTGTGTGATATGTTTTAGCTCTTCAATCTCATTAAATCCCATTATATAGTAAAAATATTTGGTAATCAAATAAAAATAAATGGTCGAATATTCTCCATGAAGTTTTGTTTTGTTCACCATCAGATAGAGATAAGTGTAATTAGTGCGTGGTAGTAAACCTGAATACATCCTTTTTATTTTGTGTTGACTGAGTAGCATAGAAGTATCCATTTCTATTTTATGGCATGACATAATGGATTTGCATGTCATGAATGGGGCAAGGGTATTAGCTAAATTTTGCTTAATTTAATTCTCTGATAGGTTTCACCATGCGCAATATCAGTTTAATTTCTGGTATTGGTTTTATCAATGTAAATATTTCTTCATTATTTAGTTTCCTGACTTTAAACTTGCATTACAGAGTGGCTTACAGATTACAATCAAAGTAGACCGGGTTTGAAGGTGCTGCAACAAAGGTTAGATGAGTTCATAATTTCCCATGAGGAAAAACTTGAACAGGTATTGTCTCGCTTGCACCTCTGAGATTGACTCTTGATGTAGTGGAATGCTTTTCCTTTTTGTTTCTTAGTACTTCTAGTGTTTCTTTAAGAGTGATCACAGACCTATGCATGCATTGTCTGGCCCAATTTTGAATACCTCCCTTTGAGTTTGTACGGAAAGCATGCTCATCACGGTTTCATTTTGACAAATGTAGATGTGCGATATAGCTGTTCATCCTTTCAATCATTTGGAACAATTTCTGTAAAGTGGATGTTTTGTTAATAGTGCAGCATATTTCAGCATTTAATAAAAAAATGTCATTCTCTCTCTCTCACAGACGCTCGTATTTTTGTTCACTTTACTTGGAAATTAAAATGTATGCTTTCCATTTGCAGATTATGTGGTCAGTGTGCGCTTTTTTTTTTTTTTGTGGTAGATTTGGGCTTTCTTCCATGTCATTGTGGTCCTTTTTCTCATTTGTCTTGATGTGTCATGTACAGGAAAGAAAAGAAAGAGAAGACCAAGCTGCAGAAGGGGGATGGACAGTTGTTAAACATCACAAAGGAAGGAAAAAGACAACAGATTCTGAAAGTGGAATTCCTGTGGGCTCTGTTGCTCCAGCTGCTGTGGAGAATCAGATGACCAAGAAAAAGCCCAAGGAAGTTGGGCTAGAATTCTATCGGTTTCAGAAAAGAGAAGCTCAGAGGAGTGGTATGATGAATATTACAAATAGCAAATTAGTGTACTTATTGTTTGTGCAATATGCTATCCCTAGTTAAAGTAACTATGAGGATTTTCCTGATATATACGGACCATTTAATGATCTGCATGCACTTGTTTGAAATGAAACATAAATGAGAATATTTTTCTCTTCATCTAAGAAGCCACGGCACATGCTGTTGCTTCCTGTTGCTATTTGGGATGAGTTGAGTCTTTCTGTTATAAAGTATTAAGGTTGACTTTCAGATCATTCAGGCATCTTTATCGCTTTATCAATTCTTGTGAAGCAAGTTGATAGTTAAATTTCCTTGCAGAAATTATGGCTCTCCGAAGCAAATTTGAGGAGGATAGAAAGCGGATTCAGCAATTGAGAGCTGCTAGGAAGTTTCGACCTTACTGAGTGCTGCAGGGGCCATAAAAATATGATCGGAATCTGAAGCATCTCGTAATGCTTTGAATTTTTTTGCAACCTAAGGATTAGGGGGGCGGCATTCTAAGCGCTTAAAATTTTTGCACCTGGTAAGTTAATTAGAGATCAGCAACTGTATTCTTGAGTCATCATAACTATCTACAAAAATGTACAATTTTTCAGGTGATTAACTGAATTGTCAAATTGCATAATGTTGCTGAAGCGACCTTTTGTCATGCTAATTCTAAGATGCTTTCTGCTTGCAATACCTTTCAGTAACGAGTTCTAGTGGCCCAAACTGCAATAATGGAGGGAGGGCTGCCTTTTTTTTTTTTTTTTGGTGAACACGAGGGAGGACTCCATTGAACCGCATCAGGTTTTGGCAATTTTCCCACCAGAAATGCCACATCAAAAATCAATAGATGTTATAGCTCAGGGAACTGGAAGTTTGGCCTGATCCATAGATGATATGATAAAATGACGTAGCGCTTAATAATGAGATGTAGAGTACCACTGGCATTTTGTTATGTAAAGGTTGAGATTTCATATCTGCTGGCCAATTCCACTCTTTAGAGTTCATAGAACTGTTTAACCTGAAGTCCCATTTATAATAAATAACATTTGGATCATATAGAACTACTTTGACATCAATTATAGGCTCTCCCAACACAAAAATGAAAAACAAAAGGCCACCACTGATAATCACAACCCAGTACCAAGAAGTAATCAGCGAAAACCACGAAAGAGAAACCTAATGAAGGAGACCTTCCAGCATGTTTCATCACGCCTTGTGCGGTCAGGTCATGTCTGTGTGTAGTGGTGTTTACTCAATGTATTGTCAGTTGATATGCCAGGCTTTTCATGACAGATGCTGCTCTCGTGTCTTTCTCTGGTGTTTGACTAGATTAGAAGTTATGTATCTGTCTTTATCCGCAGTTTATATGGTTGATGTGCACCCCCCCGTTGTGTATTTAGAAACTCATACATATATTCCATGGATAAAATTCGTCCAGCGATGGGATAAAATGAGCACAGTAAATGTAAAATTGTAATGGTATCAACCATGGTATCATTATACTGTCATTTCGCGAAAACTTTATCATCTTTAGTTACCTCGTTATTTTTTTTCCTGCGCTAGTTACACCATTTATCCCCGACGGTGTGTGTGAGATTTAGAATGGTGACATCAAGGCCTCCATGCTGTAAAATCACATCTGAACCACAGTGTGCAGTGAAGGATGTGATTTTCACTGTGCACAGATGCCCAAGTCATCGAACTTATATTTTGGTAGAATTGACATGAGATTCTTACATGCCGATAAGGCAAATCTGCTACCAAATTCAAGTTTTGGCCCAGATTACCCTAAAAAGACTGTCCTCGGAATATGATAACGACACCCGTTTCTTCCCTTTCGGTCACTCTGAATGATTCTTCTGATGGTTCCCTGCTCTTTCATGCCATGCGACACGAACTTGTACTCTTGAATAGCGTGCCCTTGTTATCAGGTGTCTTGACCTTAAAAATATATATATTTATCAATTTGATAGGTTTGTGGGCCATGGCTCATGACATACCCAGCTAGCAATCTCTTACTTGAATAAGTTATTCCACCGGAAAATGCCATCGGACAAAGTGAAAGGTCCACCAAAATTAAATAACATACCGAAGTTGAAAGGTAAATGGTCTCGCGCAATCAGAGGTGGCTTCCACGCAGATGCATAAACGAAGACCATTCATGAATTTTCCAGTCCTGTGAAGAAATGCAGAATTTGTTCCCCGGTCATATCATTAGGTATGAACGACTAATCCGCAAATCTTTGAAAGGCACTTGTATCGCCCGCCTCAACTGGTCCAATGCATGGCGCCATTCTTTTTATTCTGGCATCATATGCCTCTCTCTTCAATTATTATACCAGTTTGGTCAAGCTTGGCTGCTTGATTCTCGTCTCTTCCAATCAACATGCAACTTGTCCCAGCAACCAGCTTTTAACGACGCTTTACCCCGCCATACTTCAGTTACTGCAATGTCAAAAGGTGTAATAAAATGTGTTTGACATGGTGGTGTTTCGTGTTTTTCATTTAAATACATATTAACGTATTATCTATCTACATCTTCTTATCTATCTACATCTTTTATTTTCGTGTTTATTTTTATGGTGGTAAAGTGTTTTTTGTTAAAGTTAATTATTTTAAAAAATTAATATATTTCCTAATAAAAACGATTTTCAAAGACTAATTTTTGCTGTCCTTTTCTTTTCTTTTGCTTGCGTATGGAAATGGTGCTGACACCCTAACTACATTTTGAATACTTCAGCAACTAAATACCACAAACTATTGTTTTTGTGTTTTTTTTTTTTAAATTTACATATTTTAATTTTTTACTTTAAATTATGTTTTTTAAATGTTAAAAATAATTTTTTAAAAATAAAAAATATTATATATATATATATATATTAAAATAAAAAACACTTTAAAAACTAAATATTACAAAAAAGTACCTCCTCAAGTTTTCCTCGTATTAAAATGGAAGCAGAGGGCAATCAGCGGACACTCGAATCAGAAAGGAACAAATGATGAATTGTCAAGGGAACCTCAACTGCGAGCACTCAAGCATGCATGCATCATGCTGCTGGTCATGTCAGTCATCATGTCACATGCATCATGCAATCAAGATACCCAGAAGGGCAATAGCACCAACACAAAACATAGCATACATTTGAGATTATAGAATACGAATACTTGTTTTCCACTTCAAGGCCTGACAACCAGAACCCGTTATTGAACAAGACATGAAATAAATTGCAATGAAAGACTCAAGGCATGGACTGATGCCTCTAAAACTCAGAATCATAACCCCATGACATCAAGTAAACAAAAAAGAAAAAAAGAAAACAAAGCATTGCTGAAAAGAACTACTTCTCTTCAGCTTCCTCGTCCTTCTCATCCTCACTCCAACAACATTTCAGGATTGACCTGGGAGATGAGCAGCCTCCAGTCGCTGCAAAGCTGTGGTAGACAATCGATCCACCCTTCCCGAGCATTTCATAGTTCCCCCCTCCAGAAGAGTAACCTTTCACATCCAGGGAAAACATCGCTCCAAGTTCGTCACACTCAACATTAGAATGCAATGCAATGGAGAACTCGGTCGGTTCAAAGCAAACCAAAACCCTATAAAGCAGCTGCCTCAAATTTAAATCTTGAAAATCATAACCCACAGCCTCAAAACTTGCATAGCTGAAACCTTCTTCTGGGGTGACATGTATTGTGGAAATTGCACTCCCTTCAATGGCATTCATAGAGTAACCACAAGGGTCAAAATCAAAATCGCAGATCTCAGATTGCGGAAGGATCTTCCTTATACCAGAATCCTCAGTCATCACAGTAGCTGAACTGGCGTGTGTTTTGTAGAAAACAGATGCTCGCTTCCTGTCCAAACCAGTCATGCACATTTCCAGAGTGTAAACAGGGCCAGAATGGCTCTTCATACCAGCAGCAGCAGAGTAAACATGCCATTTCTGAGTTGAGTTGGGACTTCCCATCACATATGCCACACTCTCTAAACCAAATTTACTGAAATGGCCATCGAGGACAGTTACCTCCTCACAGAAGTTACGATGCGGAAATGGCTGAGCCCCGGGACATATGAAGCTCCCACGAGTGTACCTCACAGAACATACAGTGAGTGAAAGGGCATCAGCGAGCTTAAGGATCACTGGGATCGAAAGGAGCAGTTTAGTAGTCCCACAAGTTTTGATGATAACTTTGTAAGGGTATACAAAGAGACTGGATTCCGACAGAACATACGAATCAACCTCGTCATTTGAAAGCGAATCAACTATAGTGCATTCAGCTGGTTTGAGAATCTCGTCCAATTGAGCCTTGGACAGAGACCTGAGGCCCTTTCCTTCAGGGTCAGAAAAGAAGCCAGGCTCGAAAAAGCAAATTTCAAGCCTTTTTTCGTAACCTTCAAATCCGATTGCAGAGACCGGCAGTGCCATCTCACCTCACAGTAAACAGATGAGAATTGCAGAAAAGAGTGCGAGAGAACGAGGAAAGCAGAAAAGAAAAAAAGACTAAAGACAACAGACAGTATGAAAGAGCTAAAATGGGGCTATCTCAACACTTTGAAAATCTCAGGATGGCTTCCGAACGCACTGCACAAATAAACATAACAGAAAATTAGAAAGCCAGTAACATAATAAAATCCCGAAAGGAAAACAGATGATTAACTTCAAACTCACGTTGGAGTAAGCAGCAGATCGGAACTTCTTGATTCCACCGGCAGGTCTTATGTCTTCAATGCTGTAGCCGAGAGGTGCTTCGTACAATAAGGACTTACTACTACTACTACTAGGCTTCTTGCCACCTTTAGACTCCATAGATCATTCAGCCTTGTCTGCAAGATCCCACACAGGATTATAATTAGCACGAGACACAATCTTGCAAAATAGCAACAAAGGAAACAGGTCTACAGTCATATAGACTGAGAAGAAACCATAAGCATAACAGCAGAATTCCAAATGCAATACATAAATATTTTCGAAAAATAAAAGAGCAATAAGCCATGGAGGACAACAGAGCAATTCATCAAAAAAAGGGAGCATAACAAAGTAGAGGACATTAGCAAACAACTGTGTTCATATATTCAAAATATAGACACGTAGGCGATTAGAAACCAAATGCATTCAACAGACCATGTTTATGTGGGCACAAGGTATTGATCAATCATGGCTTGAGGGAAAGGAAACCCCTGAAGACCATTTGACATTATGAGGTTTAAACAGATTCACGAAATAAAATAAATTAGCATCCCAAATACCAATGGATAAACAGCTATAAATGACATCATAATAAAAATTTGATTGATGTATTCTAAGAAAACTCGCAACTCTATTCCTAAATCTTATCAGCAATTTAAAAAGAAAAAACAATTCCGTCCAAAACCAAAATTAATTCCAAGCAGCATAAACCAGATTCACGATCCTTGCAAATAAAAGACACAAGATAATTACACAATCTCAATCAATCTATTAACAAGAATCTATGCAGTTAATAGATAAAGAAAAAAAATCAGAACATTTACCAATAAATTATATGAAATCTTGAAAAACTAATCTCCTTCAAAAACTCCCTCTTTCTCAAACTCCAAACTAAACTCTACAAATCAAAACAAGATCAACAAATTACAAAACAAGATAAGAAAAAATAAATAAAAACAAAACAAAAGGATAGGTATATACC